TTTTAGTAAAAATGACATCATTTTCTTGTTAAACCATCCATTGCTCCGTTAAAATGGGATGTCTAGGCACTAATTAGGTAATGAGTAATGACTAAACAATAACTTATCACTTTAGGAATTTTCATGATGCCTTTTTTGTCCAAGTCATTGCTTAGTCATCACCCAATCAGTGCCTAATCATCTCATCTTAATGGGCAATGGACAGTTTAACTAGAAAATGACATCATCTTTACTAGAGGGGCTGATTTGCAGTTGTTTAAAGTAAGGGGCTGACATGCCACAACATTGTAAATAGAAGGGCTAAATTGCACCTTATGGTCCCCAATAGTAGCTTAGTCAGCACTTCATTAAAAAGCCCATAAACCAGTCAGTACGCCAACCGTTCCAAAGTCCATGAACCATTCAGCACGCCAGCACGCCATGACACAGGCCATAAACTAGTGAACAGAGAAAAATAACAATTTTTTTTTTTTGAACAGCAAAGAATAATTTAATTAAATACTGAGTACAAGGGGTACTCAAACCCATTTACAAAAGCTGTATATAAGCCTTTCAATGTTAATCCCATCTTTCAGACCCTCCCTTCTACTTCTACTTTTTCCTCCCATAGTTAATAGAAAGACATGAAGCAAGGTTGGTTAACCAATCTAAAAGATTAAAGTAACATTTGGCTTTCCTAGCCTTAATCCATGCAAAAGAGCGCAATTGAATAAGTTCAAACAGTTTGGCCCAGTTTACCTTCATATTCTGGAAAATCTTCCCATTTCGGGCCATCCATACTGACCAAATAAATGAGTTCCATATGCAATCCCATCCTTTTGAAATCCGTGAGCTTGTGGTCCATGATCCAAAATTTTGAAAGGTTTTCCAACAATCCTTGTGTAACGTTACAATGATCCCCCACCAATTTGCACATGCCTGCCACAACCTTCTAGCTATACTGCAGTTCAAGAACAGATGGTTAAAGTCTTCATCCTCAATCTCACACAGGACACACTTTCTTTCTCCTGTATCTTTGACAATTCCTCTTTTGAGCAAGTTTATCTTGGTTGGAATTCTGTCCAGCATTACTTTCTAGTTGAAAGCTGCAACTTTGCTTGGGAGAATCTTGCTCCATATTCTTTTGAATATTTCAGCTTCCTCCGGTTCTCTTCTTTGTTTTACTAACATCAAGTAAGCTGTTTTGGTTGAGTAATGACCATCGTTGCTATGAATCCATTCCCATTTGTCCGGTTGGCCAGGAGTGATCGTCACATTCTCAATCATCCTTTTAAGTTCCTTTGCGTCCTCATCTTCCCACTCGAACAAAGTTCTTCTCCATTCAAGGATCCATTTCCATGTGCCGTTGACGTTTTGGCCCATTTGGTGGCACTTGCTATCCTTCCCTGTTGATAAGAGATATAATATAGGAAATTTGTTAGCCAAGCACACCTCCCCACACCACTCATCCCACCAGAAACTTCCATCTTTCCCCTCTCCTATCTTCATCCTAAAGCCCGAAGACAACCACCCCCCAAATTCCCCATCCCTCGCATTGAGCTTGCGTACGTCTCTCCACCATAGTGATCCTATACTTCTGCCATCTCGCACCCAATCCAGCCAATGCCCCCCGTTCTATCCATATTTCCCTTCCATGACACTCTTCCACAATCCCTTATCTATATTTGCAAGCCTTCCCCACCATTTTCCCATCAACGCTAAATTAAATTTCCTCAAGTCTCTCACTCCTAGACCTCCATACTTCTTTTGATTACAAACCCTCTCCCATTTCACCCAGTTGGTTTTTTTTACCTCTTCTCCCCCTCCCCATAGAAAACATCTACGGATTTTATCGAGAGAATAGAGTATACCTTTAGGTATTTGGTAGGCTGACATCATGAACACAGGTAGACTGGATAACACAGAGTTTATGAGTGTGATTCGACCTCCGAAAGATAAGTGTCTACCTCTCCAGCTTGCAAGTTTCTTTTTACAAGTATCCACCAGCGGTTGCCACATTGCCAGCTTTCTATGATTCCCACCGATTGGAATTCCCAAGTACTTGAAAGGAAATTCCCCCTCTCTGCAGCATAGCCTATAGGCCATCTTCCTCTTCCAACTGTCCTCAATCCCGACCCCCATTAGCTGACTTTTTCCATAGTTAATTTTCAGCCCCGAGACTAGTTCGAAAGTCCTCATGATGCATTTGATAGCAATGATATTTTCTTATGTTGCCTCACCAAAAAAATATTGTATCGTCAGCATATTGAAGGTGAGAGACCATCACACTACCATTACCTATCTTCACTCCTTTATACAACTCCTTCGCCACTGCAGACTTCACTAAAGCATTCAGCCCCTCCGCCACTATAAGGAATAAGAAAAGGGATAGAGGGTCACCTTGTCTTATTCCTTTGCTGACTTGGAATTCTCTTGTTGGGCTTCCATTAAGAAGAATTGAGATCATGCTCGATTGCAAGCACTCCTAAATCCATTTTCTCCATTTGACTGGAAACCCCATCCTCCCAGACATGTACTCGATGAAATCCCAGCTGACCTTGTCGTAAGCTTTTTCAAAGTCGACTTTAAACAGAATGCTCTTTGTATTCTTCCTCTTTGCCTCATCAATCACCTCATTGGCAATCACAACGCTATCCATCAGCTGTCTGCCTCCTATGAACGCCATCTGTTGCTCCCCAATGACCTTATCCAATACTTTTCTGAGGCGATTAGCTAGCAACTTTGCAATGATCTTGTACATCACCCCAATGAGTGAAATGGGTCTATACTCAATTTTTTGGGGGTTTTCAACTTTCGGAATCAACACAATGAATGAAGCGTTTGATCCTCTCACCAGCTTCCCGTTCTCGTGGAATTCCTGAGCAAAATTGATAATATCTTGTTTTATGTCCTCCCACATAACCTTTATGAATCTGAAGTTGAACCCGTCTGGACCCGGGGATTTTGATGAGTCACAATCCCAAACTGCATTTTTAATTTCTTCTTCAGAGAAAACAGCCATAAGAGACTCGTTGTCCGTCTGGGATAATTGATTAAAATTAATGCCATCTAGCTTTGGTCTCTGCCACTTTTCTTCCGTGAATAGACCTTGAAAGTATCTCGCCACTTCTTCTCTTATCTCATCCACTCCCCCAAGCTGCTTATTATTAATTTGGATGCTGTTAATTTCATTTCATCTCCATCTGCCTTTCACACAACTGTGGAAAAATTTTGTGTTTGCATCCCCCTCTTTCAACCACATCTTCCTTGCCTTTTGCTGCCACATGCTCTCCTTAATTCTTAAATTCCTCCATAACTCTATGAAACCGCCTTTCCTAATTTCAATGTCTTTTGTCGTGAGTGTGCCGACTTCCCCTTTCTCGTCCACTGCAGCTATTACCCTTTCTGCTTCCTTGATTTTACAATCAATATCAGCCATGTAGTTTCCACTCTATTCCTTCAAGGCATTTTTGGTTCTTTTCAATTTCTCCTTTAACCTGAAACCCTTCTAACCTTTGGGTGCTGTGGAATTCCACGCCTTTCTAATCACCTCCATGCACTCGGGTTGCTCTAGCCAAGCATCAAAAAATTTGAAGGGTTTTGGACCCCAATCAACCCTTTCATTCTTTAGGAGTATAGGGCAGTGGTCTGACACTGATCGTTCCAAACCCCACGGTTTTACATCCCCCCATTTTGCAAGCCATTCATCTGAGAGCAGAAACCTATCAAGCCTACCCATGCACTGGCTGTTAGAGCTATACCAAGTATATTTTTTGCCCACCAGAGGTAAATCAACTAGTCCAGCATCTTGAATAAAGCTGTCAAACTCCCTCATTTCTGTCGTTAAACTCCTACACCCCTCCCTTTCCCCTATCTTTCTTACAGCATTAAAATCCCCCCCTATACACCACTTTCCTTTTCTTCTATTCATCAAATTCAGTAGATCCTCCCATAAAGTTCTTTTTCCCATGGTTAAATACCCTTTTTGGTCCCTCTACTATAGGAAAAAGCCCCTTTTTAGTCCCTGTACCGAAAAAATCCCCTTTTTGATCCTTACTGTTCACAAATCCGGCCCCTTTTTGGTCCCTCCGTTAAATTTTGGCTTACGTGGCATGTTAATTAACGGAAA